AAAAAAAACGTAACCCGGTTAATAATACTAAGGGTGATACTGAGAATTATCAGCATTGGCCAGGCGCGGTGGCTCAGGGCTCCGGAGGAAGCGGCGAGTCAGCGGGGCGGAGGGGGCGGGAGCGCGAACCAGGAACGCCCGCGGCCGCTAGCTTCTGGAAGACTAGGGAGACTGGGCAAGAGGGCCGAGGGACAGGGAGGGACGGTACGTGGGAGAATGACACACAAAACACCCCGGGAAGCCGGAGGAGGCGTGGAAAGGTGGGGCCCGGGAGGTAAAACTGGGCTCGGCGCGTTCAGTGTGGCTGATTAAAGAACAGCGCGCAACTAGCGCCATATGGCGCTCCTCAGAGTGACTCGGCTCTGTAGCTCCTGGGGTTAGGAGCGACCGTCGCACGGTCCCCGGTGGGTGACCGCGCGAGGGCGGGGCAGTCCAGGCGTCCCCTCGGCAGTCTCCCGTCCTACAGCTGTCAGGGAAGGGCTCCCATTCCAGGAGGGTCTGCATCTGGAAAGCCGGGGGCGATGCAGACCGCCTTGGCGTTGGTCTCCCTCTCAGCCCCGGCTGAATTGTCAGAGGGTCCGCCTTCCCCGGTTGCAAGCAGTAGGAGGCCGGGCCGGCGGCGCCGGCTCGCTGAGGGAGCGCCCCGATCTCCCCGGCAGGCGCCGGCCCCGCGCGCCTCTTCCTGCTCGGCTGCGGCCCGGAGGCTTGTGGGTAACCGGGAGGACGACGTCAGTGCCGGCCGCATCCCCGGGTGCCCCCCAGCCGCGGGAGACCGCGAAGGCTCCGTGACCGTCACGTGCCGGGGGCCGTGGCTGCTCGCGGCCAGACCTTCGCATCGAGGGACATGAGGTACATTTGTCCTACACGGCCCAGATAAGAACGAGAGGAGGAACCGGGAGGCAACTCTCCGTCATCCTTTAGCCCCCCGCATCCTAGGAAACGTATGAAAAACAATGGAAGGTTAAGTGTGTGCACAGTGATCTAGCCCTGCAGGAGTGTGCCGACCAGGTGATATTTCCTGGGGCCTGGTGATAAGGATTTAGAAGGTTACAGCACAGAGATCTGAACGTAAAAAGGAAACACAGGCAGCAAGCAAATGAGGAAACTGATACTCTCTGTTCTGAGAATAAAGCCGTTTTACCGCTAGACGTCATACTCTCTGTAGACGTTATAGTGCTGGATGTCTTTGGTACTATTACAAGAAATTAGATATCTGTTCTCTTTATCACTTAAGGAGATTAAAAGATTCCTACAGATCAGTTATTTAAAAGGGCACTAATTATGAACTAGTTTTTTT